CTTGCTAAATTATGTGGTGGGATACCACTCCTTCTTGTGACCTGTTCTGACTTGATGAACAATGGTTTTAGTCGCGAGCTGTTAATCCAACAGCTCGTGAATAATCCCATACAATTTTTCAGGATCGGTGCGAAAGATGTTTATAGCACGCTGAAAGTATTTTTTGACAATTTTTCGGACGAGGTCAAAGAAAATCTTGTCCTTTTTTCTGTTTTCCCATCCGAGTTCACAGCCCAAGACATTAAGTTTCTTTTTGAAGATCCTTTACTCTGTGAAACAGTGAAGACCACGATGGTCAAGTATGCTCTTCTTCAGAGGGACGCCGATGGAAAGATGAGGATGCATCCTGTGATCCAAGACTACTTCCGGACAGAGAATGAATCACTAGGTAAGGGTGACCTGTGGCGCACCACTAAGCGTAAATTTAACCGTCATTACCTTGGTCAGCTGAGAGTCTTGAGCGAAGATTTTATTAGCAAAGATTTATCTTCGGTTGCTATCCGTAAGTTTCGTCAGCAGAAAGCGAACATCATGGAGGCGCTGAAGAATTGTCTAGAAGATTCTAGCGATTTAGATGACAAACATTTCGTTTTAGACGTCGTTAACGGTACAGAAGTGCTGGATTTTGTGGCAAAAGTTCTAACACCCCCTAGAGAGTGCACAGTGCTGTACCAGAAATGCTGTGATATTGCTGAAGCGTCCGGCGACAAGAAGAGGCATGCAGAGAGCTTGAATTCACTGGGATTCCGTCGTCTCTGTGACGTGTCTCACAGCAAAGACAGCCCAGAAGAAAACAAAGTCACACTTGCAAAGTTTCAGGAAGCATATGACATGCGCAGGACATTACCAGAGGAGGAACAAAAGTCCCAAACGCATGCACACACAGCCAGTAAGCTCGGAGTATGTTTTGTATTGCAGGTGAGATCATATTAATTTTAAAAGAGGACTATGTGCCGTTGTTTTTTGTTTTGATTTTCCGTCTTATCTCTCCCTTTTTAAGAAGAATTTTGTCAATGGCTTCCTTTTTAAATACCATCCATGCATTTTGTTAGTGGGGCTCATGAGAATCTAACGCTGAGGAGAAGTGTTTAAGTTCTTCTTGTGTACTGAAGATTATAGGAAATCTAATGACACTTTATCAATTACGGCGGAAATGGGCGAGTTTGCGTCAGTCCTAATGGGGTGTCACTCGCACTAAGGTAGACTGGACCGGGATATTTACAAGATTTTTTTTTTTTGCAGGGAAAAGAGAAAAAAGGACGAGAGCTCATACAGGAAGGAATTTCAATAAGAAGTTCTTTAAGTGGTTGTTTGTATGTTGCTGCAGGATACTGTGACCTTGGAAGTAAGTAAATGTTTTGATTTTTACTCAGTATGACACCTGCATATCCTCGTAGGAGACTGGATGGAGGCTAAAAGGATGACAAAGTGCACTGTGAAATTCTTAATTGGGTGCTTTCTTTTTAAAAACCGAGAGAAAAACAAATAAATTTCCAATTAAATGAGAACTGAAAAGAGGAAATACTAAACTCATGTATTGGAATCTCGTCGAGTCTTATTTTCATGGAGAAAGAGGGAATGGTGTTGTCTATAGGCTTCGATGTGAAAGTGAAATAATCATTTCTGAATGCTTGATCCCTAACAGCCTAACTTC